ACAAGTCACTGGTCTGCACCCTTTAGATACCTAGGCTTTCCAAACCTAATGCTTCATTTCTCTGTGCATTTGAGAAGCCTGCGATGAACTTTGTTGAAGCTGGCAGTGGTGAATCAATATCCTTTGCAGACTGGCCACTGGTCATCCACAGTGACCACAATATCATGTGCATCTCCTTACAAAGAGCAAAAAGGTTTATTTGCCTAAGGACTCTTGAACGTAACAAAAAACAGCTCATAACTTTGTAAGTTGTATAAGCTTTGAGCTCCTTTAAAATTTGATGATGAAGAACAAAAGAAAAAGCCATGTACCTATACCAGGTGTCAATCTGGCCAATGAGGTCTGCTAACTACGGTTAATCAATCAGTTGAAAACAGAATGGAAAATCAACCCGAGTTTGTATGGGCTTGGCTATTTCCATGACAAAAAGGTTTTCTAGCATCAGGTATTGATAAAGCAATGCTAATGTTTTCCCTGCTGTTCTTCAGATAAGAGAGTGTATGAGAAGATATGCATACTATGCTGCTCAATTAGACTGTGGAGGTACAGGATAGAAGGTGTTTCCAAAATGCTATCCCATGACTTGGGACACTCAAACAACCAAGGGTTAAACTGGGGATTGAGGAGGGGTTCAGAAGAATCAGCCCTCTCTGGTGATACAGGAAAAGCCTGAATTCCATTTACTCTGGGGTCTCTGCTAGGTACAAGAAAGGATCACAGCACAAGCCCGTGAGGTTTGGTTTTGCTGCTTTCTGTCCTTTAAGTGGGAGCCCTCCACTTGATGTGATATGGAAGTCTGGCAAGCCTGATCCTTACCAGGACCCTCTGCTGCAGACATGCTATTTACTGTCAAGCAGGTCCTAAATCTGTCCAGATCTGAGGAATAAAATAGGGTCATATGGTACCTCTCCCAGTGTATTTAGATACTCCTCCCTTTATCTACACAGACACTCTGCACAAATGTGTCATTTTGATGAGTTTGAGAGGAAACATTGAAAAAAAGTGTATTTGAGGTTAAACTGTTCTGTGAAGCAAAACCAAAAAGAGAGAAAAATTATTGTTTTAACTTTCAGAATGAAAGTCAAGCATCAGAGTTTCCCAAGAAATGGAAATTGTTTCCTGGAATCTCTGCTCCACAGCTGCAAGGGTGGGCTGACCTCTCTCAGCTGAGCTCACCTCACAGATTTCAGCCCCATCATCTGCACATCCCCTCCACTTCAGTCCTCCAGGTGGACAGGTCACATATCCTTGGTGCAGTTTTCCTAAGGACAGGGTAAGTGCCTGTTCTGAAAGCAAGCTGCCCTGTTGTTTGGCACCATTCCTTCTGGCTACAGGAATGGTACAGCAACTGGGATACTGGACCTAGAAATGTGCTCAGTTGTGATGTCTGGCAGACCATAGCTCAAATTAAAATACTGCTTCTGACCTTGCCAGTTGAGGGAAGGGATGTATTTGAACCCCAGGAAGTTTCAGCAGTCTCTCAGTGAGATGCGGAATGGTGGACTCAGGAATTTTCTCTACACTGCTCTGCTGCTCTACAGAGGAGTGGGGCAGGACCCCTCTGTGGTATCCTCACCTGACACAGGAGGGGGAGCTTTACTGAAAAAAGCAGTGACTCCATCTCCCCCCAGATATCCACAATGAGGACAGTGTGGTGCAGGGAGAGCACAGGGCCTGGGGCTGGAGCCATGCCCAGTAGGTTGCCCAGAAGGGAAGTGGTGAAGTGAGCAGAGATCTGCCCTCAGCCCTGGAAAAGCTTTCCCTCTCTTGAGCCAGTGCACTAACAGGAAAAATGGAGATCTAGCAGGAGTAATTGCAGAAGAGAGACATGGGAATGGATATGTCACAGAATTAAATTACATCTGTTGGTAGGCACAAAGAAGAGGGGAGCCTTCCCAAAATAAACCTGGTTGCTGCACCTTTGCAGCTTAGAAACCCATCACACCACAGGGACCCACTGAAGTGAAACTCAGTCTTGGATTGCTTCTCTTATCTGTGCAGTAAAGTTCAAGTGTCTCCATGCTCCCAGGCTCCTACAGAGGCTGGGAAGAGCAATGCCATGACTGCTGTTGGGCTGCAGAAAGACACAAGCACTTTCAGCAGATGCCTTAGCTCACACCTGCAGCAACGTTCGGTGCAGCTCTGGGAATTAGACAGATTGGACCAAATCTGAAGATGTAAACTAACACACCAACACAAAAATTTCTGATCCTTTTTGTACCCTGAGCACAAAGAATGTTTAGTGTTTTACAAATGGTTTAGTTTTCATCAGTGCAGTTTACACATTTTTGATATGAACTCCTCATGTTAACAGTCTGTGGTATAAGCTTCATGATTTCAAGTTCTTTTTATCAGTCCCAACACTGGAAAGAAAAATGATTCTGAAATCTATCTTGCATCAAGAAGCTGCATCTTAAAAAAAACCAAAAAATCCTGAACTGAAGATCAGCAGACTCACAAAATTATATGAACTGCAAGAACAGGGTTTTGCTGCCTTTTTCTCCCTCTTCAGAGTTTTAAATAGTTTCAGTTACTGCTTTCAATGTCAGGCACATTCCTGACAGCAAAATGGCTAAGACCAAAGGTACTAGTCCCTAAGGAGTGGCAAACCCACACTAACCACTCTAAGAAAGCAATCCCAGCTATCTCACTTTTGTGGGTTTTTCAAAACTAGGGTCTTCCTGCCAGAGACCTGATGGAAGTCAGCTGTCTAGGTCATCCCTCTGCCCTTTTTCCCCTAATGCTGGGAATTCTCATGTGTCTCATTAGAGCAAAGAGCTTACCAGATATGCCAGCAGGAAAGCAGAGAGCAGCCCTGCCTGCCAATGATGAAGCAAATGGGGAAATGATCCTGTTGCACAGGATCATTAAATCTGCTTTTAAAGCAAAAGACTGTGCTGAGTCTCTGGGTCCTGCTTATGCTGCCTGTGAAAAGCTCTCAGGAAGAAACAACGCAGAGAAAATCAACTGGTGGGAACTCAAGTTCTTGCTCTTGGCTCTGTTTTGGTTTAGTATCTTCTTACCTTTGGGACATTTAAACACCTTTTTGGAGGCTTGGGGCAGGACCAAGTGCACTACTTATAAAACAGCCTGGGAATTGAGATGTTTTAAAAATAAGAATGGAAATGGCAATGATGATTAAAAAAAAAAAAAAAAGGTAACCCAGGCAAAAAGCGTGAAGTAGGGGTAAAGGGACAAAATCAAGAGCAAGGAACTTATAGGTTAGATACTTTCGAGAAGCTTCCTGATCATCAGACATCTCCCAAAGGAAATGGCAGGTCTGTGACTTTCTATTCCAAAACACCACTGTGGCAGACAATAGAAAATACTCAAGGGATGCAGTCCTCTGTGTGTGGAGAGGAGAAGAAGAGAGGGGGTTGGGGAGAGTGTCCTCAACATGGCAAAATATCTGCTTCAGCCCTAAGTCAGTCTTTGCACATTTGGATGTGCACAGAGGACATAAAAACTAAGAGCTCAGCTCCCCATCCCCTCTGAGACATCCCAGGATACTATATAGTGAAAAAGAATAAAACAAGTATTAGCAGTTACTGAATTGGGCTCTGTTAAACCTGCAAACCCTTATAAAGCTATATATTGGTCATGCCACATGCAATCTGTGCTGAGTTGGTTTGATCACTGCTTGGTCTTTTCTCCACCCCAAAATCTATTTGGATAGTTTGGTTGAGGACTTTTTTCCTGTAATGAACATGCCTGAACAGACCAGATCTTTAACTCTTGCCTATGGGGATGGTCAGCACAAACAACAAGGATGGCAATGTGAGCACCTGGGTGGTATCAGAACCACCCAGCTGAGCTATGTGCTGGAAATCTTCAAAGGTAAACTGAAGTGGTGATTCAAACACACTGTCCCCTGGCTCTGTTGTGTGTCCCCTGCTGTTGGGGCTGCATCCACGTAGAAAAATGCTTATCTGGGAAGATAGTATACAGCGTTTAGTGAGATCTCGCTTTGGCTAAGAGAAATACCAAATGTCCTCTCTTTCGTCATTTGATGTTTTGCCAATGTTGTAATCACCTTTCTATTTCCTGTGCCCCTCCTAAAAACAAATATTTTTATTCCTTTGCCACTTAAAAAAAAAAAAAAAAAAAAAAAAAAAAAAAAAAAAAAAAAAAAAAAAAAAAAAAAAAAACCCAAAAAAACCACAACTGCTTGGAAAGCTTGCAAACCCAGTCTGACGTGACCAAAACAAGCACCATCATTCCCATTTTGAATGAATGGGAAAAGAAGCAAGGGGAAGTGAATTGCCTTGCCCAAGAGGGTGTTACACAGGAGAAGGCTTGGACATGAACACCAGGAAAGCCAGACTCCTGTCCACCAGCTGTGTGCCCCTCCTGAAACACGAGATTCAACTCTCCTGAAGCACGGGACACATGGCATGGAGAAAAAGGGACAGTAAACCTTCTGGGGGTGTGCTACTCATCCACCTTGCTGAAGCAACAGTTCTTGGGTCCTCTTTCATGAACCACAATGCTCTATTGATAACGAAAGTGACACCTTCCAGTCCACGTGGAATAAGGGGCTCACACAGTTCAGGGTCCAAATCACTGTGCTGCTGCACGGGTTGGGTAGGAATCAACCCCAAGGAGCCTGCCCAGTCTGTACGGTTTGTTCCTTCTCCTTATGTCCCCGTTTTTAATAGGGGCTTCTTAAAACCCCCTTTCAAAATTATACCTTTTAAAATCTAACTCTCTTTCCCACCTCAGAGACTAAAACAGTAAATGGCAGTCCTTTCTTGTTCCCCTTTCACAGATGTAATTTCTCCCCATAACATCCCCCTACTTTCCAAATCTGGACTAAAACCCGCAAAATAGTTTGAGGTGCATGGCAGGGGCTGAGAGGGCGGGAGGGAGGGAGACCTTTATCTGAACTCCAGCAGAGAGAGATTTTGAAGCTGCCGTTAGTGAGAAATTGCTTTGCAAGGTGGAGCTAAAGCAGATCGAGGAGCGAGTCACAAGCTAGTGGAAATAAAAGTTTTCTTTACCTCCATGTCCCGCGAGAAAGAGGTGTCCTCGGGGCAATCTTTCTTCCCCACCCCTTTCCCTCTTATCTGTGGGAAAACTTCAGCCGAGCCAGAGCAAAATCGTGCGGCCGTGGAGGGAGTGTAATATCCAAACCCCTGCTCAGCTTGAAAACTGACAGAGCCCAGCGAGTGGCCCTGCACTACGAACAAGGAAGAAGGGCGGGTGGGTGAGAGGAAGGGAGGGAGGGGAGAGGAGGGGGAGGCAAAGCAATCAGGGTTTAAATTTAGAAACAAATCTAAACAGATACTGTCCTCGGAGTGCTGGGCTCAGGAGCCAAGAAGCGACAAATTCTGCTGCTGCGCCCAAACTTGGGGACACCACACGTGCATTGCCTCCCTTCCTTTCTTTCTCCCCTTCGTATTTTGTATCAATTTATCTTTATTCCCCTCCCACCCACCCCTGTTTCGTCTTTATTTCTCCTGCTCCTTGTAGTTGCTGCCCCAGTGTCTGCCTGGACCTCCCCTGTTCATGCTTCCCTTTCCAAATCTGTAAGGTCTCTTGCTCGTTTTTTGTGAGGACGATCTCTTTCTCCCTAACTACAGCTTCCCTTCTCTCTTTCACACTTTTTAGTAATTTCAGTCAGCAAGTCTTTAGAGTGGTTAGAGAGGCAGAACAGGAGGAAAGAGAGGGTGATTATTGGGGTCGAACAGAATTTAAGGCATTGATGTCCTGGTGTGTGGCTAGGACTCCCAAGAAGGACAATATCTGCTGGGTGATTCCTCAGAGAGACAAGAGGGTGTTGCTCAAATGTGGGCACAAGCAGAGGGTCCCCACGCAAGGTTGTCACTGTCCAGCTGGAGAGCAGGACTAGCTCTTTCCACCCTGAGTTTGTGCCTCACAACACCAGATCAGAAGGTGCAGGTTGTTCTTCCCTCCCTCCACAGGCATGGACATACTTATGCACTGGAAGTGAGAAGCTTCCATGGCGATAAAAAAAATCAGATGGGGGAAAATAAAGCCTCTGGAATGTTTCGCTACAGTTTCCCTTTCCATTCTGATCACAGTGTTGCAAACCGGACATCTCTTCTAGCAACTGTTTGCATATGCTTCCTTCTCAAGAATTTCAATCCCCACCTCTCAGAGCAGGGTGGTGCAGAGGAATTTGGAAACACTCCCTTTGTCTTCTGCTGGCTTCCTTGCCTTGTGTGCAGCTGCAAAGTGACACAATGTCATATCGTCATTTTGGCAGGATACCTTGGGGGCAGAAGAGAGTTAAAGTGTATTTTCTAAAAGGGATGCATACTTTTGCTTCGCAGTGTTTCACAAGTCCCTGCTGGCTATGGCTGAAAACACTCCAGAATGGATTTAAATGTGAGCACCATGATATCCCAGTTTACTGTTACCAACACTTTTCCTTACAGTGTAGTTAACTGTTGCTGCACTGCATGCTGTGGGACTCCCGTGGAATTAGCAGCTTTAAATCGTGATCTCATTGTCTCCCAAATTCAATATGCAACAGTTACTCTGTCCCCAGCCAAAAGAGCGATAGGCTGAGTTGCTGCAATCAGAAGATTGGGCAAGAGGGCTAATTAATCTTCAGTTGTTGAAACACTAGATTAGTTGAAACCCCTCTGCTGTAAGTAACCAAAATATGCTGTAGATATAAGAAGAAGGACTAAAGATCTAAAAGAAATATGAAAATGAAACTACTTGATCGGAAATCCCAATCATTTCTTCAAGACCTGACAACGGTAGGCTAGGAGAGGGATCAGGAACTGAACTGAGAAGCAGGGTGAAGCAGGGAGGGCAGGACTCTTCTGCTGCCCATGCTCTGCCTGTTCTCAGGACAGAAGGAGGATTTCAAAGCCCAGGGGTTTCACTGGACATGGATCACAAGTGTTGTTTTCAAGATTTCTGTAACAGACTGTCAAAATCACACCTCCAATGGCTGCTTTATGCTGATCACCTTCTGTTTCAGTATCTTCTTTTTTGCTTTCAGGGGCTGTACTCTGCAGAGGAAACTGCTTAGTTCTACAGGAAAGGAAACTGCCAGACAGAAACATACCAATAAAGCAAAGGTAGTTGCAGCTGCCCCACCACAGTTCTTTACTCTATTTCTGCTCCCAAGGATCTTGCCACAGAGCAAATCTTCTCTGCCAGCAGGATTCTCAAATGCCATTGCTCTAAGCATGGTACACAGTATTCAGTTTTTTAATGCTAAATCTTTCTTTCTTAAGGAGTAAGGAAAGAATGCACAGAAATACAGTGTTTTTCTCCAGACAGGAAGACATGAAGTGTGTATTAGTTCTCTTTCTTGTTTCTGGAATGAAAAACACTAGAAACTCTGAGCAAAAAACCCATGTTTCAACTGTGAGAACTTTGTAACAAACCTTAATCAAAGGAGGTTATGCTGAGAAACTGAGTGTTTTACAGGATATGCATATGCAAGTATGAATGTGAGGTATCTGTGAGTGTGACTCTCTACATCCCTGTGTGTATATCTGCTTAGAGACCTTATGGGATGTAGCAGTGTCTAGGAGATTAACTTCTTCTTATATGCAAAAAAAAAGTTGCCACATCTGTTCTGCTCTGGAGGAAAAAAAAAAACAACAGTCACCACCACAATTGCCATGAAAAGGGGCTGTAGAGGGAAATTTCATTTGACTGAGAAAATGTTGCAACTGTGGCTGCCTGGATTTTGCAGCTTCACGGCTCACTCTTTTCAAGACATGTGAGGCCAAAACAGCAAGTTTGCTTCAGGCCAAATGAACTGGTACTTCTGCTACTAGCAGTACATAGGGGAGAGGTACAAGGAACTCCTTCATCCTGGAATTCCTGCAAAACAGGTAGCATAAGTAGTTCTGCCATGCTCAGAAAAACCACGTTTAATATTTGCTGGCCTCCTGCATTTTGGCTATGAAGGATGGACAGCGGAACCTCCACAGGGTGCTGGAGTGAACAACAACGAGGAGATGCAGGGACATGGCAATTCTTTATTCAGAGACTAGCTAGTAAAAAAAGTTTTTGAGGGCATCTGAAGCTTTGACTCTGGCATTTGTGCCCATACAGCAATCTCATTCGGGTGTGTCTGCATAGCTGCCAAATCTGGGAAGGTATGTTTTTCAGGGTGGTGGATGAGCAAAGGGTAGAGGGAGCTGTGGGTTCCTGCAAGACAGATTGAAATTCTATACTTTGTTAAGGCATTTGTTGAGGGTTTGGTAGAGCTCACCTGTCAATGCCAGTATCTGAAATGATTCTGTCAACCTCTCTCTCTGGCTTTGGCTGCTGCTATCCATATGATTTCCCAGAATTCATACTATTAACCAGCAGCTGTTACCATATTGGGCTTTTGACTGCCTGAAAATGGGTCTCAACCCTTCCTGTTCCCACTCAAGCAACTCAGTTCTCAACCGGAAAAAAAAAAAAGGGGGGACAAGGTAACCACAGAAAAAAAAAAAAAAAAAGAAGCATTTGCATTTCAAAGATCAATCAGGTCTAAAAGCCAACATCCTGTTTTGGGTTGGCTTTGCACATCAGCCCCTCTGACAATGGCAACCTGACAGGAAGTGAACGTGAGCAGCGTTTTTCTAAGGGAAACTCCCTTTACTGAACCCACCATTCTGCTCACTGTGCTCTGAAGCTTCTGCTCTTGCCCACCCTGCCCTCGCCCCTCAGCATTTCAAACTAACACTGTGGACGCTGAGTCTCACCCTCCTCTTCGGGGAGTTATCAGCAGGAAATGAAGTCAGCTGGTATGCTTTGTACCATCAGAGTTTTCCTGGTCGGGCCATGCAGTTGCAGCGAGGCACGTCTGGGAGTGTACAGGCACATATGTGCCAGCACCCACATGGACACACGGACACTGTGCAACCCTGGGAACCGGGGTGAGCAGGAAAGCCCCGTTACCGAAGATGCTTGGGTTAAATGAAAGGTTGGACGGGGAGTGTGAGACTGTGCTTTTCATACACAAAAAAGGAGGTGATGGAGACTAACTGAAATATTGAATCATTTCACATGTCCCTGAGTGCCAGCTGGCACCTGAGTGCTAAAATCATGGTTCACATGGACCAGGCTTCTTAATTCCCAGGCTCTGAACAAAAGCCTGTCCCTAAGCAGAGTAAGGTTAGGAAAACGCTGCATGGTACCGGGAGCATTTCACTTGTGATGCTCATAATAATGAGGTCATACTGAGGTGGCTCACCCTCATTCATACCAGGCCACTTGGGGCTGGTGGGTGGTGTACAGGCAGTTGGTGTCATCTCTTGCTTTGGAAAGCTCTTCTTTCACTGCTAATCTGCTTAACTTCAGAGAACAAAGTGAGCAGGGGTATTAAGAGGCACGGCTGCAACCCATCGTATTAATGTAGTGATGGGACAAATATTACCAGCATCAGCCACTGGCAACTTGCTTCCAGACTGAACAATTCCTCTATCAGCTACTAGTTTTAATACACAACAAAGCTTAATATAAACAAACAAACCCACTCAGAATATGGGTGCTGACTCAATCCCAGGTGTTTGTGTTGGATACAACCATGTTTTTGGTCACATTGTTCTCAGGCCAGTCCTACTACCTGTCCCTCATCATCCTAGAAAGTAGTGTTACAAGCAGTGGCTCTTGCCAAGAGCTTCCTCAGCTCAAGTGCTGACTGAAAGCACAGTTTTCTGACTGAAAATGGGACAACATTTCTGGTCCCCAACTAGTTATGGACAGGGGAAGCTTGCCTTGCCACTGCCTGTGTGGTGGCTGCTAAAAAGGTAAAGGGACTTGCAGCTAAATACCAGGTCAGCACTGTGTTCATTGTACCCATCTTCTAAAAACAACACTGATGAAAAGGTCAGTTAAAAAAGCTAAATTCCCAATCAAGGTAATCCAGGAACTCTGAGGATAAGAACAAAACACATAACACCTTCTAGTGTTCAGCATAGGTCGGTGTTGTGTGCCATTTCCTAAGAGCAGCAGTGCTACATTATTTGGCAGGACTGATATCTCCTCAGGAGGGTATCTAACCAACATTTTTAGAAACAATTTGCATGGTGGGTCTCATGTGGCATGGAGCACTGGCACTTCAAAGCACTGAGTGCTTCAGCTTTTGCCAGAGCTGACTCACAGGTCAGTTGCTTCTGTCATACAAAGCGGTAAGTGGCTTTAATCACTTTAATCACTCTGGCTGTCATTTGGATGCAGAGAGCTGGCCAAGCTCTACACACAGCGAGGCTGCACAGCCCACAAGTGTTATCTGGACACAGACAGGTTTATGTTCATGGACAGACTGCATGACTGAGATAGGAAGCCTGGACCAGGGCACAGCCAGACTGCACGTCTGAGGAGAAACCTTGCCCAGCCCATCCTACAGCCAGGCCGTCTAAAGAGAGAGTTGGCTCAGGAAAACCAGCTGTGAAGAGGGCAGACAAAGCATGATGGTACACTAGGCCATCTCTGGCTAAAATACATCTTCTCCAGAGACACAGCCTGAAGCGTGTAAAACACAGTGAAATAAAGACTGATCCATGAACTGGACAGCTCCTGCAGGAGGGAGTAAACTGGATCCATCTTTGGTGAGATATTAACTGTCTATTTACTGTTTTTTTAATGCAGTAAAGCACATGAGTTGAAAATGAGAAGTACTGGCTGGCAATACTTTCTTGACGTTATTATGCAAGGGTGCTGGGAGCCCCAAGACATATTGCACCACGGCAGAGGGAACCCTTCTCCTTTCTCCGAGATCCAGCTGAGCAAGCAAGAGAGCCTGGAGATTGACTTCAGATAATTCATCCTTTCAGAGCAAGCTGAAAGACTTAAAGACCTTATCCCTCACCCTACAGTTTCACTTTACACAGCCCATCCAAGAAATAGGGCACCAAAACAAGCCCCCTTTTTTTACTGCAATGTTCAAGACAGTCTGTACACCACAGTGCACCATTCACTGTAGAGACCACTCAGCCTAATAAATCCCATTCTCCGCAGAGGAAAGCCAATGCTATTTGCTTCCATAAATCCTACCGAGCACTGAATTCCCACTACAATTCCCACCAGACTCATCAGCCCAAGTGCACTAGAGTTGTGCAACACAGCCCTTGGCATCTGGGGACAGAGAAGGCTGCAGATGTGCCACAAGGCTGTAAGGGCAGGGAGAGGCAAGGAAAACTTGGCAGACCTTGTTTGGATGGGCTTTTTCTCTTGGCACCTGAGATCCCGCTGTGTGTTACCAGCAGTGAGGGGGGGGGGGGGGGTGAGAAATGATCTCCCACTCTCTTTATGAGGTTCACTTTGACTCTCCTGCCACAGGGGCTGTGTGGTTCCAGTAACATGCACCCTTCCTATAATAGGAGGCGTGGCCACACTCAGCAAATACATGTATCTAAATCCAGAACATAACTTTTTTTTCTGAGCAAAATAATAATAATAATAATAATAATAAAGAATTGCTAGCCCTGCTTGCCACATCCTATCTTCTTTCCTTTCTATCCTTCCCCCCACCCCTCCCCCGTGTGGCACTTATTGTTTGTTACTTCCACATGCTCTCTATGGTATCCCTTCTTTCCTGTGCTGACCCCACCAACCACCTCCTGCCTGTTCCTTGTCATGCCCTGCTGCTCCCCAGTAACATCATTCACACACATACTCTGCCACCACCGCCATTTGTCCCTTTGACTGCATCAAGTAAATACTGACACCTGCTCCCAGGCTCTCCAAGGGCAGGACTGCTTGTAAAAGGAGAGAAAAATGCAGTTTCTGTGTATGTACACATATGTTGGTAGGGACAGAAAAGAGCAAGCTATAATGTCTCTGGTTTAGCCATAAAAACCTCTAACAAAAGGAGTTTCTAACATCTTGTTTTCCTCATCCCCTTTTCTTTCCTAAGATATTTCTTCTAGACCATTTTTGACCCTTTCTTCCACACTCTTCTCACTCATGCAGAACAGCTCCTGTCTTTTTCCCTCCATGTTCCACTCCTGCCCCTCACCTGAACATATTGTATAATCCTGCATACACACAGACACATTCTCTTCTCTCATAACTCACTCCTTTTCTCCCTCTGGTTTTCTCCTCAGCACTCTGCCCTGAAATATTCCTTGTCCTGTACTATACACAAGGCTGCCTGTGTGTAGCCTGTATGGCCTGTAGGCTTAACCACCTACCTGAGCTGAATGGTTGCACATCAGGAGTTCAGAGCACCTTTTTTTTTTTTCTTTTCAGGAGAAGGCAGCAGCAGAAGGCTCTGTGTGTCCAGGACGCGGAGGAGAGGCAGGAATCTCTGTCTGTGCTCTACAGGCAAGGGGGAATACTGGAGGAAAAATTATTTTGTTCTGCCTGTTTAGGATAGCAGATAAATGGTAGGATAGGGATGTGTGGTGTTTATTCCTTCGTGAATTCAACCCAACAGAATGATCTATCTGGCCTTCTACAAGCTGTGGATGCTGTAAGGGCAGACTGTAGTCTCACAGTAAGTTAGTTTGGGTTTCTCAGTGTGTGGAAAAATGAAAATTCACCATCTTTCAGGAGAAGTTGAATCAAGTCTCAGTATTATCCCACTTAAAAACATCTCTTTATACAAATCTTTGTAAGGATACTGAGCACAAAGTGGTGGCTACAATGAAGTAGTTTCAGCGTTTATTTGGGTAAGTAATGCAATTCTTACCCTGCAAGGCCTTCGGTGGAATGGTGTTCAACTAGGAAAACCAAGTCTTGCAGAAGAGAGGGCTCTGCCATACAGGACCTGCAGTACGCAAGAGATAAGGCCTGAGCGCTTCCTATCAGCAAATCATCCTATAGTCTTTGCTGTCTAAACCAGTTCGAGATAGTCCCTGCTTGCTGTAATTAAATGACAAAGTTCCCCTCAGGGAAAGCTGAGCCACAAACACCTGTGCTGACACAGAACCAGCCCTTGAGACTGATTTGGCAGTGGGCAGGGACAGCGGGGCTGATAGTGCCACAACCACCCTTTGACCACAGAATTGTTCACGTTGGAAAAGACCTTTAAGATCAAGCCCAACCACTAACCCGCGTGCACCGTTAAACCACGTCCTAAAGTGCCGTATCCACACGGAGTTTTTCGAACACTTTCAGGATCCGACGGACTTCCATGAGGCAGGGGCGATGCCAGCGGACGGCTTGTGCCGGGCTATCCCGGGGCACCTGGGCCTCGCAGGACGGACCGGCCCCGGGCCAGTGGGTGCTGGAGGGTGAGCGGGCAGCCCCGTGTGCGGGGCTGGCTCTGGTGCAGCCGCCGGGAACCGCCGGGAAAGGCCGGGAACCGCTCCCGGAAGCCGCCGGAGCCGCGTCCCGCCAGCGCCCCCCGCAGCCCGACGGGATCCCTGCCGCCCCGTCGACACGTGGTTGCCAGGGAATTCTGCGGGCCGAGGCCAGCGATGCGAGAGGCTCGACAGGACCAACACGTCGGTCACAACAACCCCATGGAGCGCTGCAGGCTGGGGACGGAGCGGCTAGAAAGCGGCCCGGTAGAATAGACCTGGGGGTGCTGGTCCACAGCAGCTGGACATGAGTCACGATGTGCCCAGGCGGCCAGGAAGGCCAATGGCATGCTGGCCTGGATCAGGAACAGTGTGACCAGCTGGATCAGCTCCGCCTGTACTCGGCACTGGTGATGCTGCACCTCGAGTGCTGTGTCCAGTTTTGGACCCTCACTCCAGGAAAGACATTGCGGTGCTGGAATGCGTCCAGAGAAGGGCAACGGAGCTGGGGTAGGGTCTGGATCACAAGTCCTACAAAAAGTAGCTGAGGAAGCTGGGGAGGCTCAGCCTGAAGAAAAAGAGGCTCAGGGATCACCGTATCACTCTCTCCAACTTCCTGAAAGGAGGTTGTAGCCAGGTGGGGGTCGGGCTCTTCTCCCAGCAATAGAATGACAGGGCACAGCCTTAAGCTGTACCGGAGCGGTTCAGGTTGGGCATTAGGAGGAATTTCCTCATGGAAAAGATGATCAGACATTGGAAGGGGCTGCCCGAGGAGGTGGTGGAGTCACGCTCCCTCGAGGTGTTTACGACAGGAATGGCCGTGGCGCTCATTACTATGGTCTGGCTGACACGGTGGTGTTCGGTCATAGGTCGTACTCCGTGATCTCAGAGGTCTTTTCCTACCTAATTCGTCCTGTGCCCCTGCAATTCTGAGCAGCCTCTCGCTGATTGCCGGGCTGCTGCTGACTATGCCCCGCCTCCCTCCCTCCCTCCCGACGGGCGGACGGACGGACGGACGGACGGACGGACACCGGACGACGGGTCACCGCCCCCAGGGCTGTGTACAACATCTGCGCTTATAGGCCCGCCCCCTGCGCTTCTCATTGGCCAAAGAGGGCGGTAATCGCTAGTCCATTGGCTGATGGCGGGCGGGCCGATCCCTCACTCCCAAGATTGCTCCTTCGTTCCCATTGGCGAAGGGCGGGCAGGCCCCGCCCCCCGGCGCGCGGCCAGGGCTGTGCGGGACGCGGCCGGCTCGGCGCGTCAGTCGGTGGCGGGGAGTGATGTTTGAGTGCACGGCTGTGAGGGGGAGGATGGCGGGGCTGCTGCTCCTCTGCATGGCCTCAGCGCTGCTGCTAGCGGCCGTGGGGGCCATCCCGCCTCCCGAGGACGCGGCGCGCATGGCGCGCTTCGTCCTGCACAGCTGCGACTGGGGCGCTCTGGCCACGCTGTCGGCGCAGGAGGGGCTGCGCGGCCGCCCCTTCGCCAACATCTTCTCGCTCAGCGACGGGCCCCCGGGACCCTTCGGCGGCAGCGGCGTCCCCTACCTGTATCTGACGGACATGGAGATCTCCGTGCAGGACCTGGAGGTGAGCGGGGCAAGGGGTGTGAACAGCGTGAGCAGTGACCCCCCACGAGAGGAGCGCCCAGGGTACCGAGGCAGCGTGGAGTTTTGCTTGGTTGCCTGCACTTTTTCATCTCACTGGCAAGCTGTGGTTGGAGTTGCTTTTGCTTTTTAAGTTCTCACCAGCCCTGCGAAGGCAGCGCGACAGCACTGAGTTCACAGAATCCCAGAATCCTTAGGGTTGGAGGGGACCTCTGGAGATCATCCTGATGCCGGGGCAGGGTCACCTGGAGCAGGTGACACAGGAACGCATCTAGGCTGGTTTGGAATGTCTCCAGAAAGGGAGACTTCCTGGGCAGCTGTTCTAGTGCTCTAACACCCTCAACGTAAAGTTGTGTTGAGGTGAAACTCCTTGTGGTTTAGTTTGTGGCTGTTCCATGGACACCTCATTTGTTGTTATCCCTTGAGCAATTACTATCCCTTGAACAGCTGAGCATGAGCAATGCTGTCCATGTTGACACTCAAAGGGCCTCCTGAAAAGTTCCTACTCATCATGGCCTTGAGAAATGGCAGAAGCAGCACCAGAGGAAGTGGCTGGGACTTCCAGAACCACCGAGCAGAGAAATGAGGCGCCACAGAACATCACCCCAAAAAAAAAAAAAAAAATCAAAAGGAGTGGAAATTGGCAGTGTGGGACTTTAAACAAAGAGGGCTCCTACACAGGCTGCTGAAGGAATAGTAATTAAATCTCTGGAGCTTACCGTAAAGGGAAGCACCCAAGCAAAGGCAGCATTGGCATGTTGTGGCTCTGAGAGTGTGTAATTTGCCTTGTCCCGGATCTTTTGCCTGCCTGTGCCAAGGGAGGTAGCTAAAAACTTAGAGATATAGCAGCTGTGTGCCTCCTTTACAAGAAAACTTTTTTTGTTCCAGTAGCTGTTGCAGTGTTAGTAAAAAAAACCCACAAAACGCAAAATAATAGAAAATGTCCATTGACTTTATCATAACCCCTTTTTGTTTGTTCCCTGCTGTGTTTTGCTTTGTTACGTTAAAATACCTTAATTATGTATCTAAGTGCTGTAGAAATTTGTCTTGTATAGTATCTCGCCCTCCACCCCAGCTACAGCCTTTTGTTTTCAGAATAACGTAAAAACTATGGTGTGAACTGCTATTGGACGTTTTCCTTCAGAAAGCTCCTCAACAGATCCTTATTTTGCTTTTACAGGGCAGAAACACTTGACATGTAATAGTCACGTGTAAGGGAGAAGGTGCTGAATAATCATGACTCAGCTTTTTCTGTAGTTAACCAACTTCCTCTCTGTCAGGTGGTGCCTCCAGTTTCATGAGTTCATGGGCACTCTGTAGTGTTTGAGTGACTTTTGGGAGGTTCTTTTTGACATGCCTCTTCTAGTGAAATTTCTCAAAGCAGGTGAACTTTCCTAGCTGGGAGATAATGAACATAATGTACGTGTGTTATGTATGTATGTGACACTCTGCAGTAGGGAGCCCTATTTTGCACCAATATTTTTCAAGCCATGGTCACCAAATTAGTTTTAGAAAAACAATCAGGTACAGATTCTTCAATTTTTCAAGTTAGGTGTTTCTTTTAGGTTTTAAGAGTATGTCTAAAATTCACTTTAAATTTCAAAAGAGCTGACTGGTTTAGGGCAGCCAGGAGGCTTGTTTTGAAGGGAGGAGTTGTTTGGTTTAGGTTTAACTAATATTATTAACAGCTGTGAAACTCAGTTAGTTACCTTCTCAGTTACTATTTGTTCTTCCACTAGAATTAATAAAGTTCACTGTATGTATGTCCTTTTTTTCCTGTACTGTATGTAGTTGGAATATGTCATAATTTGAAGGTAAAGTAGCTAGACTGTATATTGAATTCAGAGTTTTGAGGAGTGCTGTTTTTTGACATTTGCATTTTATGCTAAAAAGCTTCATCACACTTCAAAACTGGGCATTCTTTCAGATTCAGAGCTCATCTAAGTAGGCTTTCAGCTACAGTCAGGAAAAGGTGATGACAGCTTTAGTCTTTTTGGCAGTAATACTGAGCTGAATAAAGTATCAAAAGCTGAATAAAGTACCAAGAGCTGAAAATGTGGCAGGGATGGCATTTTTTTTGCAAAAGTATGTAAACCTCTTATCTTATTTCTTGCATTTCAGGTCAATTCAAATGCCTCCTTAACTGTGTCTTTGGCACAGACTCCTTACTGCAGGAGGCACAGATATGATCCCCAGAATCCCCTCTGTGCCCACATAATCTTCGTTGGGAGCATTGTGAAGGTAAGCAGCTGAAAGCTGAGCACTGGACAAGGTTGTGTGCATCAAGTAGTGTTATTTAGTGGGAGAAGAGAAAGGTTAGAAATTCTGTGCAAAAGCATGTGAAGAGATGTTATGTGCTGTGATACCCCAAGACTGGTTTGTAGTTTGAGGAAAATGGGGTTACCCCTTGATATTTGCAGGAGCTTTGTTGGCATGTCTTTAACAAGGAATTTGAGGGGACAGCACTGTAACGTTAGAAGTCTCCTCCTTCCCCTAGATGTGTTCTGAAACTTAGAAGTCTACGACAACTCACTTGGAAAAGCCTTCATACTTCATTCACATCTCTCCTGCTCAGCTAAATTCTTTGGTCCATGCATTGTGACAGAAGTGCTTCTGAAACTTTATTGCTCAGGCCAATATTTACTTCAACAAAGTTACAATAATAAAGTTACAGGATTAGAGCAATAAAGTTACAAAAATAAAATTACAGTATTAGAGGCAAAAAAAAGTGCATTGTATATCTAGTGTCATTGCTGCCAGGACAGTATTCTTTCGTGTACCACTACTTTGGTGTCTCATGGAAGGAATTTAGAACTGCATGTGTTATAGATTGAAGATCTTAATTCCAATCATTGAAGGTGATGATTGAGGATTACTCTCTCTTAGATGGTAGTCTAAATTTTTGTGTTTTCACACATCGGATGCTTGTACATTGCACTCAGCAATGTCTTATTGCTTTCCTAAGTTTCTCATTGATAATGAAGTTGGGTTTTTTCAATTAGTTCTTCTCGTACCATACTCTAACTTGTTAATTTAACTCTTTAAACATTTGCACATTGCACATTGCATTTTAAGTGCTGTCACACTTTTCAATGAGTTTCTCTGTAAGTTCTGCTATACCGTCCTATTTGTGTGTTTGCCAAGGTCTGAACACAGTTCAGATCTGTTTGTGTCAGTTTGAATCAGCAGGTGCAGAGGAGGTAAAATTATACCTAAGACATCACTTTGTAATAATTCAGCAAGATTCCATACTCCTCTGTTTTGTGTTTTGTTGAAAGACTTATTCTTATGTTGATGAAATACTTTCTTGCTCATGCTAACTTTAAAAGCACCCTTTTGATTTAATGTTAAAATCAGCTGCCTTGGAATTTTTGCCTGTCTCACATACACCGCGTTGAACATGAGTGGACTCTACCACAGTAATGAGTCCCCTGCGACAGGGCATGGCAGAACTGAAAAGAGCACACTGCAGTCAGCAGTGTTTTTTTTAACTAAAATCTGTCTTTACATGACTATCTTACTGTAATACTTTGCTATTTTTTTGTTTAGGTGAATGATTCAGAAGCAGTCTTGGCCAAAAAAGCATTATTCAGTCGCCACCCTGAAATGGAAAGTTGGCCTAAGGATCATAATTGGTTCTTTGCCAAATTCAACATCACCAATATCTGGGTCCTCGACTACTTTGGTGGATTGAAAATTGTGACACCAGAAGAATATTATAGTGTCAAACCTTAGTAAGTACTGGAGTTTTTAATGCCTAACTCTCATTGTGTTTGAAACCTGTAAAATGTCTCCTGATTGTTATCAGTATGTACTGTGTATTACCTGTCTCTGGTTTTTATGTGCATTTATGTCTTTTCTCTAAGTGATCTACTGGATGCAGTGTCTGAAGTCATGAGGTATGTTTGAATAGGGGATCCAACTGTGTAAAAGTATCAAATATAGTATCTGTAGAATTGTACATGATTAACTGCACCTCAGCTTAAGTAGTTTCATGAGACTCCTGTAGAGTGGGCACAGTCCCTGTCCTCAGAATTAATTGCAAGAGAGATGATGTTTTGGTCTAATAATTAAAAGCAGTGAGACTGTTCAGCATTTATGAAGCTATATTAATGGGATCACAGCAATATTGCTAATATTTTCAGAACAAAATTGCTATAAATTTATTAAACTATATTTATATTAAACTATATAAATATTAAACTATAGAGAAATTGTGTTCTTTTATCTACATAAAAGTTAGTCTTGATAACATACAAACGTATTTTAGCTCAGCCAGCACTTATGCAATAATTTCACTTTTTTTCTTACACCTTGTAGGTGGAAGAAGATCCGTGTGATGCTGATATGGAAATGAATTACTTTGGCTGTTTCATGAAAGATTTTTTTTTTCTATGTATTGTAGAGCTGAATTAATAACACAGTAAATCAAACACCTCATATTGTTAATGAGCATGTATTACCCTTATAAAGCAGATTTAACTTCTCACTAACTTGAATCATGCTGTTCTCAAAAACGTTTGTGCATAATCCATAACTAAATTTTATTAATTGGATGTGATTTTGGAAAGGTGGCTGACAGTCTGCATTCAGAAGTGTTTTGTTTACTAGAATCTAAAGGATTAGTCCAGTTCTAAAGCTTTCAGTGCCTTAGCTAAGTGAGCACTCTCCAATTCTATTTTATTTTTAATACCAGTTTAGTTTAGAATTTTATGGCAAAGTACTACAGGATGGCTCAGCTGACTCGGATCAGTGGAATGGAAAGAACTGCTTGTGTTACAAGGGTAAATGATGTGCTGAGTTCCCAAATCCTGGTAAGAATTTCCTTTGCACTCTGATACACTCCCTCATTTGAGCCATTTTTTTTTCATTTTGCTGCCTATATTGAATGTGCTGTAGGATACAGTTGTATTTATGCAAACTGTACATGTACCTCAGGATAAGTTCTTGATACCTCTTCAGTGGTTACATGCCCTGACCCTTTAATAGAAATAGGGTGGTGTCTGATTAGGATTCTGAAATCTTCAGCTTTGGCTGTATCAGCTTTTATTTCCCTCAGCAGTAGAACTGAACAGATTTTAGGGTTTGCAAGCCTTACACATCACTTCTGGGTTAGTAACCCAGAAGTGAAAAAGGAGCAGTAGAGTATGACACACATGATTCATGATTTATAGAGCATGAAAATTAGTGAAAGGTGTGCATAGTTAATTCTGTGTTATAATAAGTTGCACACAAGCACAAAGCCCCCCCAAATTAACACCTTTTTACATCCTCTCTCGTCTGCTGTGTGCTAAGTTCACAAACACTAAAAAGCATTTATGAACAATTAAGTTGGTTTTACAATGAGCAAATATTGCCTAGTTGACCTAGAATCTGAGAGTTTAGACTCCTTAGAGGCAGATTCTTATATAGAACAGTGGGATTTCTCATATAAAATCCCTACATCTTAATGTTGTTATATCACTACTGGAATGATTGGTGAAAATATTTGTTATATAACTTACTAAGTTTTCCTTCTCCAGAAGGAGAGGGAAGGTCCTTTTTACTGTTCTTCTATTTTAAAACTAATTTAAGATCAAAAAAAGTTACAATATGGAAACAATTTATGCTGAACAGGTAACATCGATATTTAATATGATTGAAAAGTATTTTTATATAAGGCATAACAATTGTAGAAACTCATATGAATCTTTGTCATGGACTTATCTTTACTGTGAGGACACCTGAATGCATTACATGTCACCCTGTAACTTCTCATGTGTGAGACTGATGATGCTGAGCTTTTGTTAAAATTAAAATATTTTTGACAAGCGGTGTCAAGTGCTGTTTATTGCACGTTTGAGAATTCTTCTCTCCCTCCTCCTGCTCTCTTTCACACAGACACTCTCTCTTCAACGCTAGTGTTTTATTGTTGCTCTGGAGTCTTTCATTCTTGCAAGGATAAAGGGGGGAAACACCCCTATTTACACCTTGCTTTCCCCTCCATGGATGAAATAAGCATCTTTGTGTTTCACTTTCTTTCCTGCATCTAATACTGTGAAATGGAACATAATAACAGTGGAGTTTGTGAAGGTGAATACAAGGAAGCCTCATTTGATTATTCTTTTCAGTCAGAGCTTCTGCATTTTGACATGAAATCTGTGTCATTAGCAGGCAGGTTTCCAGCCAGGCCCAGGAAAGCAGGGCTTCATTACACCTTAACAATGAATAGAAAGACAAATGCCATAATTCTCAACATTCCCGCTTCCTTCTTCCTCCAGCAGCTTTTATTGCTGGGCATGACATCCTGTGGCCTGGGGTGTTCCTCTGGTCACTTGGGGTCAGCTGTTCCTGCGTCCCCAGACTCTTCACTGGAAGGGCAGGACCTAAATAAGAACAAACTGGTGTGTTATCAGGGCTGTTTAAAGCACAAATTCAAAACATAGCCTCAAACACACTGCTGTGAAAAAAACCCCAAACCCCTCTATGCCAACCGAAACCAGTACACCACTTTCAAAAGTATCACTTCCATAAGGCTTCTCTGTTTCTGGTTGTCTTGTCTCACTAGTACCAATTCACAAGTATTTTCTGATTGTGAGTGGAAGGGCTTTTTTGAGTAATGAAAACGAGTTTTGTAATGCTACTGGATTTTATTGGAACAATTTTAGATCATCCAAATCTCTTAAATTCGAAATTTGAAAGGACCCCAACCAGATGTTTTGGGTTTTTTCCAGAAAGTGGTGAACAACAGAATGCTTAAGCTACATGTGCAGACCTGAATTTGAGATTTTGATCTGAGAAGAACTATCTGAAATCGTGTCTGTGCATCTCACTGAACATTTTTTGTGTATTTTTATATGTAGAAATGGATTGTAAAGGAGGTTAGGGTGTCAATCTCCCCTAGTGATAGGTGTGTAAATGTTAGTATCACCAACTCAAGAAAGTCACCAGCTTGTCTTGTTTTTCCTTGCCTTTTCTCCCTGTGTGCACCTTTGTTCTATTTGACTCATTTGGGAACTTGCTTGTGAGCATGTTTCCTTTTTTCCTCATATCCAGAAGCAATATTGTGGCTTAGAAGAGGCCAAGAATAAGAAATTGATACAGCTGTAAGCAATGAATCAGTGTTTCAACTTCTGACTGTGTCCTCTGCCATGGCACACTGGAAGTATCTGGGCATATTCTCAATAGCAATGAAATCAGCCACCATCCCCAGGAAGATAAGTACCTGCATTCACAGATAGCAATCTGAGTCACAGGATAATTTTGGCACCTCATTAAGTCACAGGATGTTTGTTAGCTGGGAATCTAATAAGGATAATCACATCCTGTCTCTAACAATACAGTCGTGTTCTTCCATCTTTGTGTTTCTTCTTGGTATTCAATTCTTGATTTTCAGTTTCGTTCTTACATTTTAATGCAAGAGTTGTGCCCAGGAGGTTCTTGCAACATGCTACATCATTACAGACTAGAATTTACATATATCAGGTACTTGTATAATCCTTTATTCAGTTCTCTCTGGAATTAATTTCTTAGCTATTTAGCCATCTTTGCAATAAAATAGAGGTAGCTCAGAGTCTTAGATTAACACAAGAAATATTAATCATAACTTCGTGGATAAATTTGTTTTCAAAAGGCTTTTCCTGAGTAAAAACGTTGACTCTAGATTAAAAATCCAGTAAACTGATATACTATTGTTGAACACAAGAGGGTGCCATAGACTCACGTTCAGCTTGAGTGTTAAATGTTTAATACTTAAAAGTGGTTATTGAATTCATCATAACTCAAAGGTGCTGGAAAAGCAAACGACGGGGGCATAATACGAACAAATTCTTTTTCTACACAGTACTTTACATTATGAATGCTTCCCTCCATAAACACAACAGCTTGCTAGCTGGGAAAAAAAAAAAAAAAAAAGAAGCATTCATCATTTTTTTGTGTTTTGTAATCATTTTGTGCTATGGAGAGCCAGAAGTAATATCCATGAAAATGATTTAAAGGGTTTTAAATTAAGAAACTCTAGTAAAGGAAATGGAGACAGGTATAGAATGCCTCAGAACATCAGCTGGGAGCAGCCACCTCCAGACTCTACACTGTTTATTTCTGCTAGTATAAGAATCCAAAGGGAGAGCGTTCATTAGCGTGACAGTGTTTTGGTTTAGGCTTATTGTTAGCTGGATTAAACCACTTGACTCTGGTTTGTAATTTCCAACAGTTAATTAATCTTGGATTCTTTGAGTGCCCCTGGTCCCTCTCCAGTGATTTGGGCTGCCTGTGCTGGAAGGCAGCCCTGATGATGTGCAGGTGTTTGGGTGGTGAGGTAGAGCTGGGAAACGCCTGAAGCTTCCCCTCTGCCTGGGGGCTGTGCCAGAGCTCAGGCTCTTGCTGCCTGCCCAATTCTACTGATTTGGCCTGAAACCTGCCTCAGCTGTGGCTGACCCTGGCTGCTGTCACACAGCATGCTTTTATTGTCCACATAGGGTGGGGCTGTGTATCTTGGAGTTAAGGCCCCTACTCTGCCACCCCTTCCTGCCCCTCTGCTTGGGTGGAGCAGTTGGTCCTTGGTGCTCCCCAATAGTTGTATTTTGCCTGCTGGGAAGCTCAGTCCATAAGCTTCTCATGCAAGACTCCTGGAGTTGCTCCCCTGGTTTTTTGACTTAAGAACTTTTATGTCTACAGGCTTCCTCTGAGTTTCTGAGTTGAATTACCATGTAAGAAGATTAGACTGTAAGACTGTTTGTTCTGGGTATAGTGGTTAATGTTCTTCATAGCCTGGTTTTCTATGGAAACAAAACTCAGGTAACATGTTGTCCGGGTACTTGCTTTTGTCAGACGTGTTTTTCCTTGGTTGGATTCAGATCTGAAATCAGAAGTCTGACCTTGAAGCCACCAAGTTCCTATCTGTGTCACAACAACTCAAGAGAAGCTCAAGAGAAGAAGCAAAACCCAGTTCATGTCTATTAAAGTTACAAAAGTAATGAGTTTTAAAAATTGGAGTTTCATTAGTTGTGCTGATTGTAGAGCTGGAGCCTTCTGGTTGAGCACAACCAGATATTTGTTTAGTATCTGAAGGAGTAAAAGTTTGCAGTATTGGTAGGATGGTACGTTTTAATTAAAGGACCTGATAACTGTAATGATTGCTCTGAGCTATTTTTTTCCTCTAGCTCTTAATATTCTATAGAAAAGCCTTAACAATTCCCCACTACTATTTGCTTCTGATTCCTTCAGCTGTTACGATTTCTTTTGCATAGAATTTCTCCAGTTTAAACAAAACAGATGCTGTGTTCGTGGTGGTGGTCCAACAGCTGACGTGGGTCTTGCTGAGAGAGGAAAATCTCTCCCTCAACCTCAGTAATTTGTCATTGTGTGTGTATCCATTGAGGTCTAGAATTGCTTCACGTTATTTTTGCTGCTGGCACTGGCTCAGATTGCAAACTTTGCACCCTCAGTTTCCCACCCCACTC